CACTCCAAAATATAACTATAGAAAATAAAAAATTGTTAAACAATTTATATTTAATTTAAAATATTAAACACCAAAATTTTAACCAAAACCCGGAATAACCGATACGGGTACGGTACCGATGATCGACATAATCATAATTCATAAGTTCATTCATTTCGGCGACAACAATATCATGCTTGTGCTGACCCAAAATGCAAGAGAGTAAATAAATAAGAATTCTACCAACATGGGATTAGGCAAAAGACAAGAATATCATGCTTGTTAAGGTTTTGTATACAACCATTTTCACTCATCTACGCAAGAATCCCATTGCTTGGTAGACGTTCTCGAGAGTAGCGTCCGCTGTAGCTGCAGCTTCCGTAGCCCCTTCTGACAAGACTCCGTCCAAATAAGCCGGTTCAGCAATGATTTCCTCATATCGAACCTGAAAAATGGATGGGGACACCTAAATCGATGATAATTAAACATCGGCGGAAGAGAACTTACAGCTATCAAACATGCAAAACCATTGTGCCATTAGCAGAGTAGGGAAGACGAACAAAATAATAGCAATGATTGGACCAAATATGAACGTCGGTACCGTTTGGACACTGATGCAGGTTCAACACGAAGCACTAGCATGGACCTGACTAGATTTTACGTTCATTAGACAGCCTAGGCTGCAGTAGATAGCTTCAGAAGAACAATTTCTAGGAATCATTTGTATAAATGTTTTGAATTCTAAGGTTGAGCAAATAGATTCCATGTACTTCAGGAAAGTTTTTTACTAGCAAATTACCAATGTTTTGGAAGGAAAACTAATTCATCTGCAGAAAACATCCGTAAAAATACATTTGTTTCACACAATATGAACGGTAATGTCTAGAATTATTTGCAAGAAAGCATTGAATTTAATATGATGAATCTTAATGTTAAGATGGTGAGTTAGGGATTGAGTCACGTGGTAATGGATGGGAAAATCAATCGAGCTCATCAAACAAAGCCTGAAACCTTGAGACTTATATTAGAGAGAAACCCATATCTCTTTAAGGTTTTTGATAAAAAAATCGACTTAGGTTTGTCTTTCGTTAAATTTTATCTCTTTTAAATTGTTATTTTATTATATGATAAAGTGGTGATTTATGTTATTATTTTATTAATTTAAATAACATTATTAAAAAATAATAGGTAGACTAATGGCGAGAAGAGAAAAAAATAATATGAAAAATAAAATAAATTATATTAGCATCATTGGTACTTTTCTAGGGATAGTGAAAAAAAAACACGCAACATTAGTAATATTTTTACTAAAAGATTAATTTATTGACCAAAATAGAAAATGATAATAAATTGATGACTAATTTAGTATTTTACCCAATAAATTGATATCTATAATAATTCCTATATCTCCATTCCGAAACACTAATACTAAGACGGGAAAAGAAAAACTCGAAAGAAGAAAATGGATGACGAAGTTGGGAGGCGACAGATCCAACACATTCTAGAGATCGATCATGAAGAGTTACAGGTCGAAGAAGTCGATAGCCTTCTCGAATCGTCCGACGATGATCCTGATGCCACGTATATACTCTACTCATTTTCAAATTTCCTTTCATTTCCCCAATTTGATTCGTTTCTTTACTCATTGCATTTGTAATTTGTTGTTGTTTATCCTGGCGTTCCTAAATTTAATTGGAACTGAGGGTTTAGGGAAAATTTAAATTCATTAAAAGATTGAACTATTCGGAGACTCCTGATTTTTGTTTCTATTTTGTGAAATATATAGTTTAGATTGATATTTCAGTTTTAGATTGTTATGGTTCATTAATGTCTTGTAACTTTGTTGTTCATATTGTAGTGGCGTTTCTTCGACGGATGACTTTACCTTCAATACTCAATTGACTTCCTTACACTCATATCTCGGCGGTAATCATATAATACTCTGTTATACCTAAACAAATGCAGTGAACATGTTTAGGTATAGGTGGAAATAAGTAGGTGATGAAAAATGTTATTGCAAATGCATATCTGCTGTCAAACTGACGCCTGGATAAGCCTATTTACTGGACTTGAGAGAAAATTACATGTTTAGATTATTCCTTTGTATATGTCATGTTGTACCTACTCTTCTGAGCACTTTGTTATTTCCACTCTGATTTCATAATTATTTTAAACTTGACTGCAGTTTTCTTATTAATATTTTTTAACTAAATGTTATAATTTTTGCAGATTCGTCAATATCGTCCCGTAGAGGATGGTAGTATTAATGTAGTTACTCGTGGCCAGCAGCGGTTTCGCTTGAGACGCTGTTGGATTGATGCTGAAGGGGTGGTAAGAAAACAATTGTTCTTTTTCTTAAAAAGTATTCGCAAATATCTTTTTTGTTAGAGTACCTGTGTGATAGAATGTTGATTTGCTTATAAATTATATTCTCTTTAGCCTTGTGGCGAGGTTCAAATTATTGAAGAAGATGTGCCATTTAGAACTCCTCGAGATGCATGTGCAAAGTTGGTGCCATTAAGTAACCTGCGAAGCCAACATATCCTATCTTTACATGCTCTATCACATGGAGGAAGGAATGATGAAAATGATTCAGAAGCAAATTCTGAGGAAAGCTTTGAGAATGAACTTTCTCAAACAGAATGGAGAATTCATCAAGCTGCAATTGGTGCTGGCTATGAATCTGATAGGACAGATGAGTCGACAAGTAGTGGTGATGACAGTAAATTGCCCGAGTCAGACGTCCAATCTGGAAATCCATGTACAAACGATCCTACCTCCATACGTGCATCACCTTCTGGCCATAAGAAACAAGTTAGAAATGCTGACTTGGGAATTGGGACCAGATCCATGACTCGAAAAATGGCAGGACCAATGTCTCATCTTTCAAATACACTGTAAAGAGCATTCTGGCCCATTTGGGTATATCGTATGTATGACTCATTTGGTCTTGCTCAAAAGGCAGAGGGTATCTCAATTTTTATTTTTGGTTGTCTTCCTATGCTCATTTGACACATGGTCATTCAGTTTGCATGCTTTAAAGATTTTTCTATGTCAGTGATTGCTGGTTCAGGGCAGATTTTTAGAATTTATTTTAAGGCAACTTCTTTGGTCATTTGTTGTGAGTGTTGATGTGTTATATCTCTATTGTACTTTGTGTTTGACTTTTTGTAATTAGAGTTTTTTTAGTTAGTTGTTTCTTCTTGGTCTGGTCTAGTTCACATGTCTCAACAATGTTAAATGTTTGATATTTGCTAATTTTGCAGATATGTGGAAACAAGTGGTTGGGACACCAAGCATGGATGGTTTTGTGAATAAGCCTGATCTTTTATCTTTATATATTGCAAGTAAAATTCCCGTCTCTGACCCTACAAGGCGGGAGCTTCTGGAAATTGATGGCATTTCATATAGACTGCGCCGAGAAATTGAGTTACTTGAAAGACTTGACTGTGTTTGTTGCAAGATCTGTAAGGTACTCCTCTCTCTTGTGTGTGTATATACCCTCAATCATATGGTTGCATGCTCTCTCCTTCATTAATGTACAGCATGCAGTCTATGGGCTATGTTTTTACCAGTTTTTTCTTTAGACTGTAATTGCTAGGTGCAGTGATATGTTGGTGATGTCTACTGATGGTCCTCTGGGTGCTTATGTTAACTCATACGGCTATGTGCACGAGGTAATGACTTTTCGAAAAGCAAAGGGTTTAGCTCTCAGAAGCCGACCACATGAAGAGTACAGCTGGTTTCCTGGTTATGTTCTTACATTCTCTTTTCTCAAAGGCTAGCATGAATCCAATCATGTTATGCTAAATAACAGGGATAGTTGTGACCTTTCTATCACATATTGGATTATCATATTTGTCTTGGAGTCAACATGAAGGTTGAGATTGTCAATGTTATTTTTGTGAGAGTACGTTTCCTTACAGGATAATCCATCTTTTGTTTAAATTCTAGCTGGAAAATCAATCCCATAGAATAGCTTCAGTTAGTAACCAGTAATGATGGGTAAACAGTTGTTTTAAAGACGATAGGGCAGGAAACATACAATATTGATATAGTTGGCAAGAACAAAGTGATATGATCTTGTTCCGGTTTTCATGATTTCCATTGCTTAACCATAATTTACTTAATTGCCGTGTTTCACAATTAATATGAAGAATGTGTTTCACACCATAATTAACTCAATTGCCATGTCCCACAGGTATGCATGGACAATCATAAACTGCATGACATGTGAAACCCAAATGGGGTGGCTTTTCACTGCAACAAACGAGAAGTTGAAGCCTAAATCGTTTTGGGGTATAAGGAGTTGTTCAGTTACGCATGAAATGCGATAGAATCCATATGTTTACGAGTACGTAGTAAAATTTTCTCCCACTAATTGGCAACTATAGAAGTTTAAGAGCTTATGTTGTGTATATAATATAATAACTTGGTAGTTATATCATGTATGGAATGTAGCCTTGCCATGCTAAATGAAAAGATTAGGTTACATTGCTGTTACTTTGTGGCATTCTTTGTGAGAGCCTTGCCTAGATATAATTTTTATAGATTTGGACCGGGTTGCGGGTTGATCATCACGACTTAGTCGACTTTATTGTTAAGAGAGCGTCGCAAATCTTCCGAACTTGCTGGATCACATGTTTGGGGTAGTTTATTCATTGCTTTGTTATGGTCAGTTTGGAGATGCAGAAATGAGAGAATTCTCTAAGCTCCATAATTTGCAACCAACTGCTGTTCTTAATTTCGCAAAGCAGTTTGCTTCAGATATTCAGAAGGCTTATGACTTGGGCATCTAGAAGGTCACCCTTACTCACCGATCGGGTGTGTTGGGCAAAGCCAGCAGTTGGGAAAGTGATTTTTAATACTGATGGCGTTGTTCGGTCGGTGACAAAATTTGCTACGGCAGGGGTTCAGTTACTTAATTCTACGGCTCTTGGATTAGGAATTTCAAATAGTGTTTGGATGATAAAATGGTACTCGTTTTTTCACTTGATTCGATCAAATAATCACTCTAGCAATGACAGTTAAACGGCTGAATATTATTGTGTTCTATTTCAAACATAGAAGTATCATCAGAACAGTTTCCATCGGAAGAGAAAAAAGTAAGAAGAAATCAATAGATTCCTGCTAATAACTAGGCGATGAGCCCGGATACAAGAAACTAACGAAGAAATTTTGATTAAGAGTAACAAAATTGAACATCAGAGATATGATCTATACCCAGGGTTGTACATGCAGCTCTCCGCGTATTTAACCAGATCTTTCGGCTGAGGAAGGTGAGATGCCAACCCTAGTATGCCAACAATAACATCAATTAATCGAACAATTCGTACGCATGTAAATATCGGATATGGGTATGTTTCCACCCGAATGTACAGTTTATTTTTCTAAGATTTTGGATGTTTTAGTTCGGAATTATCGGCATGCATACTTCAAGAAAAATAAAGAATCAAAGCGACAAAGTCGGGGAACTCACCGAGCTCGTATGCCTTGGCAGCAACCTTCGCAGCAATGTTAGCTGAGATCTTTCTGATATTGGAGAATGGTGGGTAAATTAATCCCTTTTCAAAGTGTTCTTCTGTCACTTGTGACGCCAAAGCTTCCGCTGTCGCAATCGGAAAAAACCAGCTAAGTCCATTTGCACGGCTCGAAAGATAACCAGAGGAAATTTTATGCAAGGTTTGCTTGATGCACTTACAGGCTGCCAAAAGCATGTCGTCGTGTACACGGATCGCACCGGATGTTATTAACCCCAAACCAAATCCGGGGAAAATGTAAGCATTGTTTGCCTAAATTTACATCAAACATGGAGAGATATTAGAGTCAGATTTACGAACTTAGAGATGTAACAAAACTGCATTTTTGAGCTGCGAAAATGCTCAAGGGACAGACGGTAGATACCTGGCCGGGCACGAAGACTTTGCCATTGTATTCAAAGGGGTCAAATGGGCTTCCGCTTGCAAAGATTGCACGACCCTGAAGATTAAAAGGAAAATGGTAAGAAAGAGTGTTCTCTTTTAAGATTAGTTTTACTTGAATCCGTACAAAATTCGAAGCTTTAAGACGAGATAAAGCATCCAAGCTAAAAGAACGTAGAAGAAAATTGCATGTCATATACCTCACTCCATGTATATGCTTCTTCTGCTGTACACTCAGCTTGTGAGGTCGGGTTTGATAGAGCCATGATAAGAGGTTTCTGCAAGTCGACCGTCAAAGGTTAGTACAAAAATCTTCGGTTTAGATAATGTCAACATACATACGTATGTATGCGCATCCATCCATGCATACATGTTATGTATATATAGTTAGAAAGAGAGAGAGAACCTCATTGATGGATGTCATTGCTTCAACAACTTCCTTTGTGAATTGTTTTCCCACTCCAGATGTTCCAATCAAGACCGTCGGTTTGATTGCCTGCTTAATCAAAAGAAAGGTAATATATATGTATAAATGTATGAATATGAAACATTTCTTTCTCGAATCGTGAAAATTTAGAGACTAGTTGCTTACCTTGATGGCATCAACAAGTTTCGTGACAGGTTCATGCTCATGAGCCCAAGGTTTCTTGAAGTGTTGAAGTGACTGCTTTCGGGACGCGACAATCAACCCCTGCCACACGATTCGAACTCATCGCATTGAGAAATGATGCACAAAAATCAGTCATTTTTGGTAAGGAGATCTAAGCATCTTTTATACAAGATACTTGGATGAGATTCACAGTACCTTTGAGTCTACGAGCCAAATCTTCTTGCGATTCTCTTCGATCGGATTTCCAGTCTGTCACGACACAAAACATGTTTAGCCATGAACCCAAGGAAGCAAATCCTTATCATAAGAAAATACAGTAACTTCTTACCTTCTTTGACATCTCAAGAGCTATTAGCTCTGCGATACCAGTTCCGGCCTATCGACACCAAAAAGAAACGGCTATTTAGATGACAAACATATGTAATAGGTTTACAGATGAAAGAAGGGGCAAAAGTTAAGTGACCTGAATAGAAATACTGCAAAGAATCGATGAAATCCGAACAGCCTGATTAGTAGCAAGTATTGTCTACAAAAGTTTAATCGAGCCTTACCTCTCCAGCACCAAGGAACAAAAACCTATGGTCAGCGAGTGTTCCACCGAGTAATTTCAGGGCCGCAATAAGCCCGGCCAGCACCACGGATGCGGTACCCTGCCATTATGAAAGCGTTTCCGAATAAGAAACCAGAATAACCATTAAGGGAAAAGAGAAGAGGAGAATCTAGTTAAAGGGTATATTACCTGTATGTCATCGTTGAAAACGAGATGACTAGAACAGTATCTTGCCAACAGCTCAAATGCATTGTGGTTTGCAAAATCTTCGAACTGAAAATATTATCTTATTCAGAGAATTGAGTACGTAAAATTCCGAAATTAAATGGGATGACAGTGAATCGGTAATCACCTGTATCAGGACTTTCTCCCCGTAATTTTGCTTAACTGCAGACATGAACTCATGAAGAAGTTCATCATATTCCTACACCACGGAAACCGATGTAGATTGGTAAGATAAGTAAATACACGTAAAGAATAAGCATGTTATATATGACCGGATGTTAAGCATATAGAAGCAAAGAAGAACCATCGAACCTGTCCAGTCGCCCTCCTTCGCCTGAGGCCGATGTAAAACTCGTCGTTTAACAGCTTCTCATTGTTCGTCCCAACATCAATAGTAATAGGCAAGCACTGAAATATTAAAAACTTATTAGTTGATTTATGGAGTTTACCGCATTCAGTTAAGCTGCAGAAATCCGAACCGACATCATACATGCAATTAGGACACTATTGCGACATTTACCGTAACCCCATTTTCACTACGGAGTCATCCATAGGGGACAAAGGAGAAACGAAGAAAAAAAAGAAGGAAAATTGAGCACGAGACGAGGTGATTTTAGCAATGCTTACTGCAGATGGACGGACTCCTCCCAAAGCTGTGTATAGAGAGAGTTTTCCTACAGGTATACCCATCCCCTGAAAGCAATCATAATATCAAAGTTCATTAAGTTTATAGATAAAAAGAGAGATATGGTCATGGTTCCAACTCACAGATTCGATACAAATATTGCATTACCTGGCAACCGAGATCTCCGAGTCCCAAAATTCTCTCACCGTCCGTGACAACGATGACTTGGACGTTTCTCTCGGGCCAGTTTTTCAATACTTCAAGAATCTTCCCCCTGATAGATTGTGATACTTAGTTATTGTGATTCAATTGCAACAACTCTACATCAACAGAATACATACAGAGGGCATAATCAAACACATACTTCTCTTTCAAACTGATGTAAAGACCCTGAGGGCGCCGGAAAATGCTCCCGTACTTCTGGCAAGCCTCGCCGACCGTTGGAGTGTAAACAACCGGGAGAAGTTCCTCCACGTTATCAATGAGAAGCTTGTAGAAAAGCCGTTCATTCCTCTCCTGTAAGATGCAAATCGATGATCGGTAAGTTGAAGTCATAAATGGATTCAAATGAAAGTGCAACAAGTGACTTAGAACACAAGGCAAGAACAAGTATATACCTGAAGATCCATCATGGCCATGTACCTTTGCAAAGGAACTTTATATTGGCGAATGTTATGCATCATCCTCTTCTCCTGAAGCTCTTGACTTAGAACAGCCGGGGGCAGGAGGCCACGCAGGTAATGAGCGTCTCGCTCTTTCTCGGTGAACGCAAGACCTTTGTTGTGGCGCGGGTCGCGTATCAATGTATATCCACTGCAACAAGATTCACAGAGATCTAACTTCAGTTGAAAGATTAACAAAATTTTCAAATCATGTTACAATGCATCATTTCACTTTGTTAAATCATATGCAACAACCACCACCATACAGACAAATATAACTTTATATGTCATATTTGATGCAATTTGCTGTCTTGTAGACATTTTGATAAACATGGCACAGGATTAAGCTTTTTTCATTATATTGCCACCAAACAAAGCCAAGTTATACATCCGGAGATCGAAACCTCCGGTGGTATTCTCCCGCTAAGTAGAGTTTCTGGAGATCTATAACCTCCGGTTATCAATAAATTCATGACATGATCACTGACTTACCCACATGATCTATCTGAGTCAAATATATTGTCAAGCGACTATATTCAATCAACCAGTCAGCCTACAAGTAAGGATGAACAAAACTCGACTCAACTCTAGTTGTAATTTTATAAACTCTACTCAACTTAAAAAAATCCAAATAAAGTTTGAATTATAAAATATGACTCGAATAACTCAAATAACTCAAAATTTTTAATAATTAGATTCAAGTTCGAGTAAGCCTCACAATTCTGCATAGCATATGTATATCATGTATGAAAAAATATGAAAAAATATATAAGTATATCTCACATGGTTATAGAAAAAACATTCAAATTTAACTCAGTTAGTATCATAACATTATAAATATTTATAGCTAAATTTAAACATAAACCCGAACAACTCGATTTGATTCCACTCAAATTTTATAAATTCGACTTGATTCGAGAAAATTTTAAATAAAATTTGAGTTATAAAAATATATCTCATTAAAACTGACTGCTCGAATGTTCACCCTTAGCTACAGTAGCAATCCAATCAAGAAACTAACACTATCTGCCCCATGATAGACTAAAAAAGGGTTTTCTTTTCCGGACTCTTTTTCCTCCCCGCCAAAGACAACTTATTTTTCTTAGAATCATCGATTGTAATGTCCCGTCCAAACAAAAGAGAAACAGCAGTTTATTATCGGCACAATTTGAATGTTGCTATCAACGATCTATAATGTATGAACAATATTAAGCAACAATTATTACCAGGAGTTCAAATTTTAACAACGAGAACATAAAAGATCACCTAGCAACAGAGACGGTCCATGGAGTGACAGGCTGCTCCATCGTGGCAGTATCCTCACCATACATATCTTCAACGCCACCAGCAACAGCTGATTTCTTATCCACTAAATCACCACCACTCGTCATTGTTCTAAGCAACAACAAACACCCAAATCTTCTTTCTTCTCCACCCAACACCGATCTCTGCAAACACTACAAAGAGAAGGAACAAAACACGACAAAGAAACAAGCTCTAGCCTTTATGTTTTTAATAAAACAGGAACCAAGCAGCCCCTTTTTATAGGTGAAGTAAGAAGGCAGGAAATGAAATCAAAGAATGAAAAAGAAAGGTGGCTGCTTGACACGTTGAAATGGGTGTTGGAAAAGGAGATCCTTTGGACAGGTAGAGTTGATTTTTATAATATAAATTTGGTGTCAAATAGAATTTTTTTTTGTAGAGTTTTCATGGCAGAAACTTGCAATGCGGGAATAATAATGAGAATTAAATAATGAAAACGATGATTGAAAGGATACCAGCAAATGTTTCAACAAAAGCATCCTGGTGGGCGTGAGAGGAACGTGGGAACGACCGACGGATTTGCTGCTGTGCGGTGACAAACGCAATATGTTTTCCGCGTCTATGGAGAGAGAAAGTATAGTTTTCCCCTCTTTTCTCGTTTTGGTCAAATTCTTTACCAGTCCATTTATTATGCATTCATGTAAATCTAATCATTTAGATTTATTAGGCAGGTGGTTGCAACGGTTGATTTTTTTTAAATTTTTAACCTAACATTTAGAGACAAACGTTGAATTTTATGTTAAAGATATGAAATTTTATAAGAATTTGAAACTTTCAGGGAGTGTGGCTTCTCCCTCATAATATCTTTTAAAGTCGTGCGATTATTCTATTACTATTGGCATCTGATTTATTAATTGATTAATTCAAATTAAATTTTACAAACATTTTATTATAAAACGATATTTTCAATTAGATTTATTTTATTAACAAATTCATTCAAACTATTAATCTTATTAAAAGGATCTAAAATAAAATTTTACTAAATCAAAGGGTGTAAACTTTAATTTTGACCGTCTCAACCACTTTTTTAGTTAAATTGCTTGATAGGTCCTTATATTATAGAATGAATAGCAGATTAATCATTTTAGAGAAATTTATACCATGCACATTTACTTTTAAAAATAGTTAGGCTGTCATGTTTTAATGTGACGTAGGAAGTAAAAAAAGAAAAATCAGATTTGTTTACTTTTTCACGTTACTTGTAAAATAAAATAAAATTTTAACGTTCGTTGATATATTCGTATTAACAATTACAATTTTATCTATTTGTTTAAACTTTTGAAAATAATAAAACAATTAATTTTATGAATAAATTAAAAATATATAAAATAAAATCACAATCTTAACAATAAGTTGACAAAAATAAATTAAGTATATTAATCAATCATTTCTCTTAAAATTACCCAAGAATAGAAGCTAGTTATTAAATAATAAAAATACAATCATATATGAAAGTGGTTAAAAATTTAATCAAATAATTTAAAAAGTAAAATATACGAAAAAAATGCCATCGTCGATGATGAAAGATAGATATCATCAATACTAATGTAAAAAAGAATATAAACATAAAAACGCATTAACAATTAATTTTATCACGGCTTAAACACGGAATATCTAAAATAATTATGAACATATATCAATATAAAGCAACTAACCTGAAGGTCTAAATGAGTGGTAAATGTCAAATTGTTCGTCTCTAACAAACTCTTGAACTGTATGCCAATTTTGAAATATGAACATTAAGGACTTTGAAATGTTCCCCGATGGTATGTGTCCAACAAAAAGCATTATTATAAGTTGATTTTATGTATTTGCTTTTTCATTGTTCAATATTCAATTTTCATATTTATTTCCAATGTTAAATGGTTGACTAATTAGTAATTATAATCCACTTCGGTATGTGTTTGGACTTTGGAAGATTTTCAGCTAATAATAATATTAATTAAATTTGTTCTCCAAAAATAAAAAATTTTATAGTTTCTTCTTTGTGTTATATTGACGATGTAGCTGTTATTTATCGACATTTTTCAACCACTCGAAATTACCGATAAATTCGTTTTATTGTCTCATATCACTATATCATTTTAGATTTTATTTATACCACTTTAAAACTCATAAAACTCAATCTTAAACTCAAATCACTCTAATCTATAATATTTACCCTCCAATCAACAAAAAATCAAGATATGCAACTCAGTTTCTTATTCTCCTCTCCACCGTTGAAACTTGGAAGAAGATGCTTCATCATCGAGAAATCAAAATGAATTTGAAATTAGGATTTTTCTCCTAAAAAAATGAAAAAAAAAAAGATTTAATGACAAAGCAGTCGAAATAAGAATAAATTAAAAATTTAGTGAGTAAATTGAATTTTTTAATTTTATCGGCTAAAATAAAAGTGAGAAGAAAACTAAGCGATGAATTTGTTAACTTACCCTTGTGTTTATATAATTTCTATGGGTTGAAAATATACGTTGATGATCCTATTTATATTATTGTTTTTGCGTTTGAAGTATTACAAATTTGTAAATAATCGTATCATCTTTTCGTATTTGTTGGAATATATTGCATAATTCGTAATAATGGTTCATTATACAAAATAACTTGTGTTCGTACAACATTTTTAGTCCTATTTTAGTTATTTTCTATATTATTTTGGGTCATGCCTTAATTTATTTTATTTTGTATAATTCATCCAATTTTAACTCTACATTAATGTAATTGATAACTGAGTTATTTTATTATATATTGATATAAATATTATATCAAACAATTTACACTAATTTCCCATAGCAAGAAGAAGCAGGATCAGCCAGGGAATGGAGCCAAAGTTCCCGTAAAACCATCATTCTTTAGTGCATGAAGATCTCAGCTGGATGCATTGGTAAATACCAGGAGCATAAAGTCTATCAATTCTTCCGTCCACACCACAATCCGACGAATATATTATGTTAAATACAATGCCGCAGGAGTGTTCAGTCCGCACCGGAAAAACCGCAAGAAACACCATGATCACCAATCAATAATTCTCGAATTAATTTTGGCGTCGTTGCAAATTTCAACACGGGGGGAGGCAGACCATAAAAGAATAACTGAAAGTGATTAGTCAATTTGTTCAACCATTTACCACTATAATGCATAAACAAGTCACTTCAGTAAGACACGCTTGCTTGTTGCTTCAGGTTTCTTTGTCCAGAACAAGAAGCAACCATGTAACATGGTTGAGACAAGTACCTACTCGAACTCTTCATTTTGTTCTAAGTACCCGTGCCTCACACATATCTAGACACAAGTTCTCTAAATACATGGAAGAACTCGTGAAATTGAGCATACCCGAGTCAAGTATATACCTACATTCGATGTTTACACCAAACTACGAGTAACACAGGTTAGCATAGACCGTGACAAACAAACACCCCACTGCATTAGAGGTTCTCAAATGAATGGAAAGCAAGTGAACACAAACACGGGCATGTTTCAAGATCTTAGTTATCAAGTGCCAAAATAACCGAATGTAACCAGCGTAGGAGTGGATGCTTGTATTTCCATATGACATCAGTCACAATCACATAAGGCGAAATACAATATGGCCAAGAATTTATCAGGTACTCCCCATTAAAGACGATTATATGAATTGCCGAAAAAGCCATGATATGCTTACCACTTCAGAGGCAAGAAAAAACAGACGGTTGATGCTTTCTAAGAAAGATGATGTTGTGCCTGAAAAATACATGGCAAAATATTGAAAATGAATCGAATGTCAATATATGCACAAGAACTGCAGCAGCAAAGAGTGAAATTAGGTTCGCAACTACGATCAAGTTAACCAGTGAAAGTTCCTTACCAAATCAATGGGTGGTCTCCTTGCAGATCCTTCGAGGAAACTTTTAGGCACATATAAAAGGGCCTCAGTGGCACTTCTTTTGCGATTTTGACCTCCGCCACTGAAACAAAACCATCTCATAGGCTGACATGCAGGGAGCCTTCATAAATAATCACCACAAAGCACCATTATAAAGTCCAAACTCCAAAGTACAGCTTTAAGATGCATAGATGATCAAAGTACAAGCTAAATTGCAAATGGCATTATCAGACTGAAATATCACAACTTCAAATATTTGAATGCTTAAATAGATACATCAATCTTTAGCATTCACCAAGGTAAAACAAAATAGCATGAACTCTCCATTTTGGAAAAGAATAATGGGATGAGAACATCTAAGCCAAACAAATTCGGGAAATAGGGTTTTGGCAGAAGGAAGGTAAACCATGGACGAGACATTTAGATGGATAATGGAAATGGGAATACTAACATCAACATTATCCCGAAACTAATAATGATATCCCATTACATACTGTTACTTAAAAATATACAAAATAACATTCTCTTTAAGGTAAAATCAGACATCCCAGAAGTTTAAGGGTTGAAAATATCATTATGATCTACTCCAGAACAATGCTAGGCATAGTACACAGATCGAATGACTGAAAGCATCTATGGTCCAGCATAAAATCATCGTTGCATGTTCCTCGCACACCAACAATAAACTTAACCTGTGCACTTGCCTTCAACCACGAAATTATGATTTCAAAACTATACAAGGTAAGAACGTCAGCATCTAACGGGAGAAAAAGATAAGAACTGAGCTGAAAGATTTTAACTTGATTGAATGACAGTGCACAGGTGTTTGATTAGATACTACATTATGGTGACAATAAAGTAGAGTTTTGCATACATCAACTCCCTAATGCTGTGATCAATCAATCTGGCTAAAGAGCTTAGTTCCTGAAAAATGAAGCAGTAGAGTCGTCCCTCGCTGTAAAAGTGCAAGATCAAACACAATGAGAAGGGCATCTGAACAAAACTTTGGCAGTTCATGAAACAGTTCTACCATAACAAACTGATGCAATATAGAGATTCTTCGCCCATTTCTCCTGGAAAACAAAGCTCTGCATAAGCATTTACACTTACAGGAAAAAGGATGAAATAAACTAGTGATAAAGTTGACGTAAATACCTTTACATGAGTGCTTGGGAAAGCAGAAGTTCTAAGGGTCTCCTGAGTTTCATCTGAAGGTTTTCTTCTTGGAACACTAAGAACAAAAGCTGCTTGATCCCAAGTTGCAGCAGTTGAAGTGATGCGATAGCCACTATCCCACCTTCGATGAATACCCTCACTAGGATATAGAAAATCTAACTCTACAACCTGAAAGTGCACCAGAACAAGATATAGTAACGCTTTAAGTTTTTCATTTAACACAATAATAAAGTGGAATTGAACAGATATTCTAAAAATCCAATAAACCTGGTCAGAAAATGGAGCACCACGTGACATAACAATTGCCCATCTGCTTCCAGCAGTGGCCATGTCAGTCACATAAAACCCCTCCCTCCATTTTTTGTTGATCCATTTGAAAGGAAACGAATCACTAACTTTGTAGGATTGCTGCAAATATTGAGTCCCTACATTCAATACAGCAATAGAAATAAGATAGATGTATAAATATAAAAATAGAAACTTTTTAGATACCCAAGGGATAGCTAAACTGACCTTTAGACATTACAACTAAAGAACTCCCATTATTAGCTCCTGCGATTGCACTGATGTAGTAATTCTTCTCCCATTGCTCCATAATCCATTCCTTCAGAGAGCAAAAAAAAAATGGTAGATGAACATTGTGCTAAACTAATAATAGCTATTTACAATGACATATATTACTATGTGGAAAATCAAAATAGCATACAAACGATATGCGCAATATAGCAGAATTGCAATATACAAGTCTCAGAATCAAAAGAATATAACCAACCTTATGAAGAAAGTATGGGGAGAGTTCATAAACTTGTGCAGTGAAGCCAGTGCCAGCATCCATAATAAGAACCCACAGGTTAGAACAAGAAGCCACACTGCTAATAAATAACCCATCTTCATTTCCTTTCTCAATATGTTGTGGAAGCCTCACATCAGCTACATTATAATGATATCTATAACATAAGATATAAATTATAAACATCTACTCTTATTAATAACTTGAAAATCTTAATGATGATTTTTAGAGACCTTTGCTTCATAGGCCTCTGAGCATTATACACGCTAATCCACTGAGTTGCAGGCATACCCATTCGAACCTTCTTCTTCGTATGTTCATCCTCTTCTTCCTCCATTGTTAACCGTCCCCTCTTTTGTCCTACTTGATATATAAGCTTCAAGAAAAATACATATATGTTGAATAAATTTCAACAACTTAGATAAACTTCTGAATGACAAGTTAACCAAATAATGTAGAGGTAAGAAGTACCTTATGAGCACCATCAGTATTTATTGGCCTAATATCTGGATTTGGACCAACAATCCCGTCAAAAAGAGAAATATATTTTGCATAATTTGGTTCCTCATCGAACTTCAAATTCACAACGTACTCAACAAACTGTCTGAAAGGAGCAGGGCAAAAGCAACACAAAGTTTCTGGAGAGGTGGCCATCTTCTTCTTACTAACAAGAAAGCCTTTATTTTCACCCTAAAATAACGACTTGAATCAGAAAGGAAAGAGATAAGAAATATATATATGTGTGTAGAAAGTTATGATATGGAAATGCAAACCTGATATCCTTGCCATGGTAACCGACCACGGAGGAGAAATATGAGTGTGTAAGCCAGAGACTCTAGATCATCTCTCCTACTACCAGTTCTACCAAGATGAGCATGCACACTAGCATATCGTACAGTTCCCCTGCAGTAAAGAAATAATCAAAATAGAAAAGGAAAATGAAGCTTAAAGCTCCGGATAAATTAGCAAATCAAATTTTACGCACAAAAGGAGAAGAAAAGCATGTAAAGATAATGGATAGCAATTTTTTAGCTTTACCTGAAAACATCAGGTCGTTGGTCGTACTCCACATGTTGACCACTCGAACTATCTCGCCATCTGGTAGCTGTTAAGACAAAAGAGAAACAGAACTGTCAAAAATCATTTGGATCTCAATAGAAATAGATCTTAAAGAAACTTTCTGCAGCTTACCTAATCCAAGGTCAACAAGAAAAAGTTTTTTCTCATCTGGAGTTCCAGGAGTACCAAGCAAGAAATTTTCAGGTTTCACATCGCCATGCACATATCTAAGAAGTATATAAGCAATAGAATCATAGTACCAAAGGCGTTTATCTCACCAAAAAAAGAAAGAAAGAAAGAAACAGCAGGAAGAATCATAATCACTGCCACCCAAAACTAATGATAGAGACCTTAAGTTAGAAGACTGATTATCAGCATTTATCAACTCAAGCATATAAACTCTCTTAACAACACAAATCCTCTTGCAATATCTTAAACCAAAAAGGAAAAAGTCATAAGCAAAGTATAAGAATGTATCACCCTGTGGAGTGCATCTTCTCTAAGATCGATATGGCTTCAATGGCAATACATGCTACCATTTCAATAGACATCCTGGAATTGAAAAGGTAAGCTGTGATTAGATGGTTTCTCTGTGAATAAATAAAGCAAAACCTACCATGTAACTTCACAAGGAACATACGTGTGCGAGTTGTTGTTCCAAACATCCCATAAGCTAGGTCCAAGCATATCCATAACCTGTTAAAAACATTGCAACACCTCAGATCATACTCTGAAACCTGAAACACACACACATATATATGCATGTCAAAACCTAAGAGATTGCATCAAAGCAAACACATACCATAATATAGTAGTCACCTAGCCGACCCTTGTAATGAACTCGAGGAACACCATGGCTACCACCAAGTGCACTGCACAATAACAAAAAGCCATCGTTAAATCGCAAATGACAAAAGGCCATGATTAATGAGGCTTTGATGCAAATATAACAACCATTACAAAAATAAGATGATAAGAATCTCACTTGTAAACTAGCCACTCATATGGTGGCCCAGAATTACATCCTTTGCTGCTTTTATGCTCAAATTTTAAAGCTACCTAAAATCCGAACATAAAGTTAAGCACATTTGGGATATGAACTACTCAGTAAGAAACGGAATCTTCTATAATATTATTAGCCACCTCTAGAGCTCCCGGACCAATAAGGCTAATTCGCCGACCAACATACACTTGTCCAAAGCCTCCTTTCCCCAATTTCTTTTCAATTCTATACATCGGGGAACCGCCTACCGAAACCTGTTGCATAGAAAACAAAGAATTAAGAATCCGTTCTAAAGACTAATATGACTTCTTAAACTGATTTTTTTTTCATTCTCAACATTATCTTATCTAGCTTCATGTTGTTACTTTGCTCAATGAAGCCTACAACTAGGACCAACCATCAAAATTAACTTGTTTTAAAATGCTAATGTCATGGTCACTAATTCAACAATCTACAGAACCCCACAACCAAAAATTACAGCCAGTAAAATAAAAAAGAAACCTTTTCAGGAATCGGATCTTTGATTCCATCGTCTTCAGCCCCGGGGCCCTTATCACCGCTACGGCCGCCACTATCGAATTCGTTCATCTTCTGTTCCGCAACCTGTTCTGACAAAACCTTAAGCTATTTAATATTATCGTCCTCCTTTCTTACCAACGGCGTCGTTTCAAAACCGGCAACGCTTACAATATTATTGTCTGTTACTGTTGTTGTTAAGCTCGTTATTATTAACGGCAGCGACAATCGCGTCCTACTGTTTCTAGTTCAGGTTGGAGAACAATATTAATCGGGTTTGAATTCGGGTATGGGTTAACGGAAGCCCGATTTCTACGAGCGTGGCTACGCAGCTCAGGCATCATACGGATTACATACGTCCATGAAGGAAGGCAGCTTGGTGAAGATTATTCATCAAGGTTCTAGAATCATCGGATATATATACTCCGATCGCCGGCTTTTGTCGATAGGTCTAAACCCAAAAGAAAAAAATTGGAGCTTCACTTGCAATATGAATTTAGGGTTTGGAAGTGAGATTTTGGAGATCTGCAAAGATAAAATGGATTCTCTTCCACAGTTGGGTAAGCGAAAACAGAGATGCAACGATGTGATGTGAAAGACGCAAAACTCTGCCGATTACATTTTTCCATCTTTAATTTTTATTTTTGGAATTTAATTTTAACCCGGCCCGGTTAAAATGGCTTTTTTTTTACCTAAATAGACCTATTAAAATACTATTTACTATGACATCCAACTCAAACCAAATGATTCAATTGATTAATAGATGATTATTAGTCCTAATAATCTCGGTTTGAGCACAATATCCATAGTGATATTTAAATATTTATTTTTAAATTATTGAGAATCTTTCGATAAAATATTATCTTATAATAACTTTGGACAAATAAAAAAATAACATTTAAAACATCCATAAATTCATTAATTGAACATAATGTTAATACACACACCGTCTAAAAAAATAACATTTAAAACATCCATAAATTCATTAATTGAACATAATGTTAATACACACACCGTCGTTACCACTTAACTTGTATTCATGTAATTACGTATTTTTGACACGTGTATTTTTTCTAGACAAAATTTGTATTTTTTATTTTTATCTCTTTTTTTCCTTTCATTTCAACCTAATATGACTGATCTCTATAAAGATCAACATAAGATGCTTCTTTCAAAATACATCTTTTATCACATGAGCAAAAGACTACAAAAATGTGTTTTCTCTTATATAGTAAAAAAGGGGTGTCAATCAGAAAAATAATCATATATAAATATTAAAATAAAAAATATTTTTTATTACGAGATATTTTTGATAAACATATATTTAAAAAGGATTATTTTTCGGATCTGATTGGGTTCGTACTAAAAATTTGATTTGGATCGAGTTTGAGTCAACTTAATATATATAGTTTTTGTGTAATTATAAGATAATATATATTTAAAAAGAAATTATTGACAATACATACCCAGTTAGGGATGGTATAGGTGAGGTTGGGTTGAATTTTTGATCCACTCGACCCAACCCGAGAACAATGACTCTTCCACCCGAGATCTGACACGACCCTAATGAAACAATATTTCACCCGATTCGAACCTAACCTGACCCGACCCGAAATAATAAAAAAATATTTTTATTCAACAAAAACATTGACTTAATTGAAAAAATAAAATATAGAGGGGTATTAGTGTAATTATTTCTAATTAGTGTAATTATTTCTAAATATATAAGGTAAAATTATATTTTTTTAGGGTTTGGTCGGGTATTTTTTACTATAAATCTGACCCGACATCACATTTAAAAAACTGATCGGGTCGGGTCGAAGGAACCCGTCTAATTCAGTCCCATGCTTATCCCTATACCCAATAGACATAGTTATTCAAATATATATTCTTTAAAAAGAATAACATTTTATTTTATCATTAAGATCACTGAATAAGTTACTTAAATTATATACTTATTAAGTTGATTTTTAAAGTGTTTTATGATCCTTTAATTTTAAATTATTATTAAAATGATCTCGTAAATAAAATTGATAGAATAGAAATATGTATAAAATATGCCTTTTAGGTAGGGATCGATATGGGACGGATTTCAGCCAACCCGATCTGACATAAAAATTTTACATCCTTCACTCGACTTGATTCGACTCGAAAAATATATACCCTTCACCCGACCCGAACCCGACCCAATTTTTTGAGATAAAATTCGAACTCAATCAGACCCAACTCGAAATAATAAAAATAGTGATTTAATTGAAAAAAAAATAATATATAGAGAGATATTATTGTAATTATTCATAAATATATAAAGTAAAATTATATTTCTTCGAACCAGGTCAGATTGAGTATTTTTTACCCTAAACCCGAATTCGACCCGACCCGAATTTTTTATTAAGGATTAAATTGAATATTTTAGAAATATCAAATCAAACTGAAGCTCAAATTATCAAAATGGCTACGTTCGTTTAATTTTTATTTATTTTTTATCATTGGTTTTTTAAAAAATAATGTTTTCGTTATTTATATTATTGATTTATAATATTTTGGTCATTGAGTCTTTAATTTGATGATGACACATTAACAAAAGAATTTATTTTTTAATCTAACTCTTACATTTTAGATAAATATCAATTTAACTTTTGAAATTTAGACAAATGACAATTTAATCCTTAAATTCAATCAAAGTTTCCCAGCGTCGTCTTTGCTCACCATTGTCCTTGGTCATTGTTAGCCACCATCAGACCCTAAAATTTTTAATTCACCTCTTCTTAACATCACGAAATAAATTTAAATATTCGTTTCAATTAAAATAAATATTTAATCTCCACAACCTTATGACTTACATCCTTTGGCAGTAAACCATCCACGTTAAAGTCCAACCCGATGTTCACTAAAGCTAACTTCAATGAAAGGAACTGCCAATAAATTATTAGGTAAAATGTAAATTTAGTATCCGTTATTAAAAAATTTAATAAAACTATTGACTCGATATTTTAAATTTTTTTAATGATGATATGTCCTTATCTCATGATAACACGTTAACTTTTTAACGACGTATACTAAAATGAAACATAAACTAAATGTTAGGTATAATTTAAAAAAAATAAAATTTAGGTACTGAAATAGAATAAAAGTAATAATTTAAGTATTAAACATGTAGTTTACCCTAAACTTTTATCAGAAAACCACGGTCAAAAAAATAATTAAAAAAGTAACTTCCATCCAAAGAAATTATATTTTAAATCTAATCCAATTTTATGTTTGAATTTGTTCGGAATCGAATTAATTTACACTTAGATAAAACGAATTCAAATTATTAATTTTGTCTGATAAATTAAATTAGACCGGATTTAAACTATTAGCAAGGTTTAGGATGGTTATTGTTCTATTAATTAATTAATTAATAATACTACAGTCTATTTTACAAGCATGTTTAAAAAAATTGAAATATGTCCTTAACTGATATTTAAATAAATAAAATTCAGTAAGCAGTCTCAATGATAATAGAAAATATTGATATCCTTAGAACTTATGAATTCGAGTAGTAAAGTCTACAGGGTATGTGTTGTCAATAAACTGAGAAAGTTATGAACATATACTACCCTTTGTAATCACTCAACAACTTAAAAAAAAACAATTTTTGATAATTTTTATTCCGATTAGCAAATTTTTATGTTGTTTTTAAAATAAAAAAGAATTACACCTCGACTTAATGGTGCTCGAAAAGTAGAGACAAAACTACGATCAAATATTAAGGGGATAAATAATCTAATTTTAAAATAATAGAGATTTATTAAGTATTTAAATTAAAAAATTAAAGGGAGTAGAAATATAAGTTTACTCAATTTTAAACCGATAAAAATCTAGAATACTATTATACCAAAACTTTCGGGATGGACAAAAGCTCCTTTCATTCTCTATGTACCTTTGTCTATATAGAATTACCACGATTTCCCCTTAAGGAATAGTGAAGGGATTCGATTATATTTTTGTGGTTGTTCTATCAATTTTAGGGTTTTATTCTAAATAATTCGAATCGATTCATATCGTACATTTAGTTTTGATGGGTGAATTTCCTTACGAGAATTTTCTGCATACACAATACCTCGAACTCAAAACATGTCTAAACAATATTAAATTAAGAGAAAATAACCTTATTGACCAAAAATGCCTTATAATATACGATTTTAACCAACTTTTTTTGGATTTGCCAAAATGATCAACTAAATCGCAATGCGATCGATAATTCGCAACGCGATCTCCGGTATTGCAAATTAGTTTCCAGATTCGCAACGCGAACTTCGACTATCGCAATGCGAACTTGGACTATCGCAATGCGATTTACATATTCGCATTGCGATAGTCTAAGTTCGCGTTGCGATTTATTCCAAATTCGTTGCGATAGTCCAAAATCGCAACGACTGGTGGTATTGCATTTGTTTCTTAAGAATTTTCTCTAAAAAGATAGTATTCGCGCGGACGTGTCGAAGACACGTATTACCACGACCACGACCCGACCCGACCCGAGACGGACGGCGGCGGCGGCGACGCGCGAGAGTCCCCCTTGTTCTCTATCACTCAACAAGGAAGTGGGAAAGCCAAGCCTTAAATAACATTCCCAATAGTGTTTCCAATACTATGCGGGATTGAGCATTACCAACACTTGTTTCTAATACAATGTGATTATTAAGGAAATAATTAACAATCATGCACCTTAAAACAACTGAATCAACAACCAATTGCATTAGTATTATACGATTAAATATGTCATAATTAAAAGTCAATCTACAATCAATCACGATTATTGCAATTTTAAGCAAAACATTCAAAAATAATATCACTATTTAAGGCTCAATCTCACATAGTATTGGGAACAAGTGTTGGTAATGCTCAATCCCACATAGTATTGGAAACACTATTGGGAATGGTATTTAAGGCTTGGCTTTCACACTTCCTTGTTGAGTGATAGAGAACAAGGGGGACTCTCGCGCGTCGCCGTCTCATCTCGGGTCGTGTCGTGTCGTGTCGTGGTTGTGGTAATACGTGTCTTCGACACGTCCGCACGAATACTATCTTTTTAGAGAAAATTCTTAAGAAACAAATGTAATACCGTAGTTGCGAACTTGGAATAAATCGTAACGAACTTGGAATAAATCGCAATGCGAATATGTAAATCGTTGCGAATCTGGAAACTGATTTGCGATACCGGAGATCGCGTTGCGAATTATCGTGGTCATTTTGGCAAATCCAAAAAAAAATGGTTAAAATCGTATATTATAAGGCATTTTTGGTCACTGAGGTTAATTACTACTTAAACCAACCCATTTGTTTCGAGAATTTTTTGAAATTATTTAAAAAAATAAAAAAAATTATGATTTCAAAAATATAATACTTTTTTTTGAAATAAAGTATTGCTTATATTCCAATAGCATCCTCAATTACAAGTTGTTTAATACAATCAGGTTCATCCAGGAAAAATTCAACTGGATTGTGGTTCGATAAGGCCCATTGAGCCAAAGCATGAGCAACTCTATTAGCGTCCCTACTCACATAAAACACCTTAAGTGAAGGGAGATCAGTTAACAATCGCCTAGCCTCATTGAGCAACAATCCAATTGTAGAGAAGTCCTGACTCTTTTTCGTACTCTGATTCGACAACCTGTAAACTATCGAGATGGCATCTCCTTCAATAATAGCATTGTTCCACCCATTCTCTGAAGCAAATCGGATACCCTCAGTGAAAGCAAGTGCTTCGATAGATTCCGCCGTAAACGGTGGGTCAATCTTCCTTGCCATACCCCCTAAAACCATCCCATACGCATCTCTAGCAACAACTCCAAAAGCCGCTGTACGAGAAGATTTGCAAAAAGCCCCATCCACATTAATTTTAACCTCATCCCGATTCGGCTTACTCTAATTACGCGATCTACTAATCTGCAGTACCTCACAAGAACCACCAATTAGATTAATAGCGATATTATAATCCCCAATAAGATTAGAAGAATTAACAATAATTTCTCTGTCCGATTGGAAATCCCCATCATGGACCAATTTATTACGCCTATTCCAGATATTCCAAAGCAAAGCAAGAAACAAATCAAATCCTTCAGATAACAACACCGACCGGGCGAAGGACAGCCATCTGATACAGGAATCACCGCTCCACTAAACCACCGCTTGAGGAAGCCCCTATAAATTGAGAACCGTCTTTGATTTGGGACAATCTTTAAGAGCGTGTAACGCCGATTCAACCTCTCTATTACAAAGTGGACACAAGCCATCCCCCAATTTTGCTTGCTTAATTTTTAACCCTGAAGGAATCGCTTCATGACACAATCTCCATCCGAAAATTTTTATCTTTGGGAGAACTTTCGCCCTGGCCACCTCATTCCAAATCCCTTCCGCAATCAACAAAGGGGAGTTCTGAAATTTTAACCAATTGTATCCCGACTTTGCAGAGTACATTCCCGAAGTGTGATGAGACCACAACATAAGATCAGTGTGAACCGGGGCAATTAACGTGTTAAGAACCTTGAACGCATCATCCGCAATAAGCACTCTGTTAAGCTTATTCTCATCCCACCTAGCACATCCTGGGATCATGAACTCCCCCACTCCCATCGGTACCTCCACATTATCCAAATATCTTTCCGTCCACGATATAGGCTTTGAATCCCCCCACTTATCCACAAACATAGAAACTTTGCTATCAATGCCCACTCTCTAGAAAAAACCTTCCCTAAGAGCCTCTTTTGCCTTCATTATACTCGCCCAAGCATAGGAGTGTCTATCAGCAAGTTTCGCCTCAAAGAACGAAGTTGAAGGGAAGTACTTAGCCTTAAAGACCTTAAACACCAAAGAATTTTCATCCTGAATAAGTCTCCAAATCTGATTACCAAGGAGTGCAATATTAAACAGTTTAAGATCCCTGAATCCCATCCCACCAAATTTTTTAGAACGGCACACCTTGTCCCAAGCAACCAGAGCCCATCCTCTATCATTCTATTTCCCCGACCACCAGTAAGATCTCGCTTGTGATTTAATATCCTCAATAACTCCCTCCGGGATGAGATAACATGACATTGCATATACAGGAAGTGCTTGAACCACCGACTTAATGAAAACTTCTCGTCCTCCAAAAGAAAGAAGTCGCTTGGTCCATCCCTGAATCCTCTTCTCGGTCTTATCTCTGATAAAATTAAAGGTTGCTCGTTTGCCTTTTCCAACAGCAAGCGGTAATCCAAGATAATTCCCCGGGTCCGAGGCCTCAACAACTCCTAGTTCACTTAAGAATCTCATCCTATCCGCAGCAGGAGTATTAGGACTAAAGTAAATACTTGATTTCTCGAAATTCACTTTTTGTCCTGAGGCCTTCTCATATTGGTTCAAAATGCTTTTTACTTTGCACACCTCCTCCATCGAGTTCTTCACAAACAACAGGCTATTGTCGGCATACAACAGATGTGAAATCTTTGGCCCTCTCATGCTCGCTCTAATTCATTTAATCTCGTTCCTCCTTTGAGCCTTGAGAAGTAATGCGGAGAGTCCCTAGCACAAACAAAAACAAATATGGAGATAAAGGATCTCCTTGTCGGAGACCTCTCAGGAATGAAAGAGTCAGACAACACCCCATTGATCCGAACTTGAAATAGACCGTTGAAATACATTTCCGAACAAGGTTAACAAAGGAACAATCAAAACCCATACGCAACATAACATCCAATAAAAAAACCCCATTCCACTCTATCATACGCTTTCTCCATATCAAGTTTTATCGCAGCTCCCTTATTAGAACCATTTTTAGACCCCTTAAGATAGTGGATAAGCTCATGTGCAACTAAAAAATTATCAGATATTCGTCTACCAGGGACAAACGCGCATTGATTTTTAGCAATACAACCATGCATCAACGGTTTAAGACGATTAACAATAGCTTTTGACACGACCTTATAGATGACCGAGCATAAGCTAATCGGTCTAAATTGCTTCATTAAAGTAGGGCTATCAACCTTTGGAATAAGAACAATAATGGTACGGTTAACAAAATTAAAATCCATCGTACCATTCAAAAGACATAGACAAAGATTAACAAAATCACAACCCACAATATTCCAAAAAGAGCGAAAGAATGACCTGAAAGGCCATCAAACCCAGGAGCTTTCGAAGGATTAATTTGGGCAAAGGCACTGGTGACCTCCTCCGCGGAGAACTCTCGGCAAAGTAACTCATTATCACTCCGAGTCACGCATCGATCAATGGCTTGAAGGATCTCCTCATCGGGAGCCGCTTTGGACGAGCAAAAAAGAGAGGAAAAGTATCTTATAGCAACACCGAACATGTCCTCCAACTTATCACTCCAACCCCCCCTTCACTCAGCAGCCCCTCAATCCTATTCTTTTTACGGCGCCCATTAGCCCTAGCATGGAAAAACGAGGAATTACGATCCCCGTCCTTAAGCCAAGCAACACAGGATCTCTGGAACCAATAGCTTTCATCTTTATCCATAACCTCCTTAAGATCCACCAAAGCCTTGCGACGAAGCTCACAATTCACATCCGTGATCGGACCTGATTGAAGCCGAGTTAAGTAATCCCTTAGACGTCTCTCTTCCCTCTTAGCTTGAGTCCTCCTCGACCTTTGCCAATCTCCTAGAGAAATGCCAATTTTCCCCACCTTTGCCGTGAAAGAATCATCCTGTTCCCAAATCCGTTTCACAATATCCCTACATTGGTCTTCATTAGCCCAGCAGAAGTCAAATTTGAAGTAATCCTTTCTAGTATCGCAATTTCTTTCCTCACCAACCATCTTCAACAAAATAGCTGAGTGATCATACATTGCCATCGGAATCGTTTCAACCGAATAATCCGGAAACATAAGCCTCCAATCATTTTTCGCCACAAATCTGTCAATTCTCTCGCATACATAAGTCTTAGCCCGGGTACCACTTGCCCAAGAGAACAAACCAACTTTTGGCCGAATATCCCACAGATCAGCTCCGCGAAGACATTGAAAAAACTCCTCCATGTGACTTCTAACCGGTTTCCACCCCCCTCTTTTCTCATCAGAGTGAATAATTTCATTGAAATCACCTCCCACACACCACGGGAGCGAGGAAGTCGAAGCCAAACGAGAAATCATCTCCCAATTGTGCTTTTTTTTCGCCCAAGAACTACGCCCGTAAAACCCTGTGAAACGAAATTTATCTCCCATCCCTGACACTTCCACATCAATATGCAAATTGGAAAAACTCAACAACGAAACATCAATTCGTTCATTCCACAGTATCATTAAACCCACACATCCCTCCGCTCTTTCGACCTCAAAACATCCATACATCTTTATCGCCAGTCTGATAGCTTCCGTCTTATTTTTCCGTAGTTTAGTTTCTGAAACAAACACCAACATCAGGTCCTTAATGGAGATCATTCTCCTAAGCTCACGAACTGTCGCAGGGTTCCCAAGCCCTCGACAGTTCCAGCACAGGATCGTCACTGCGACCAGCGGGGCTGAACCTCAGCCTCCGCCAATGCAAGAATGTCCTCCGAATTCTCCTCTGGGATTTCGCTAGGGTCCTCTTCCTCACTCGTACCCACCTTGGAATTCAACGTAGAGTCTGAAATGTGCACCAACTGCCTGTTAATGCGTTTAGCCTTCCTCTTTGCTTTGCTCGACTCCCCACTCTTCCTTTTTCCCGTACTTGAAGAACCGATTTCTGCTCTGACACTTGGGTCACGCTCAGGCTGCTTTTCTTCCATAACCGTACGCTCACAAACCATAAAAACCTCCGGAAATGTATGGGGAAGTGAGTTATCAGAACCAGAGTGATCAGATGAATATAAACCATCTCCTTGGTTGGAATTTGACGAGAGCAGAAGGACTATTCCTGACAACCAGGGTCTTCCACGAGGTGCCCGAGCAGCTCTTTCAGCAAGTGGGCTATTTGCCGGACTCGACAACTACCGTATTGTTCATTCCTTCCGCGTAAACTATCCCATCCCTTTCTGCTGTTACTCTCTTCGATCCTCTTCATGCTTGTCACTCTGAGCCATTCTCCGAACTGGAGTGGCTGTTGTACATGCTCCGAAAATCCTGTGCATTCCGTCAGAACATGACCGATTAGCCCACAATGGTGACAAAAGGAGGGCAATCTTTCATACTTGAGTAGACACTTTCTCGGTTGACCATTGCATTCACCCCCCATCTTAGCACAACCTCCTCAAAGGTTTGGTGCAGTCAATTTCCACCCTCACACGCAAATATTCACCCATCCGACCCTCTCCTGGCCTAGTGTCCGTAGCGATGGTTTTCCCCACTCTGTTGCCAATCTTTTCCGCTGTCTCAATACGCATAAGCCCCATCGGAAGTTCGTAAATCCTCATCCACACCCCCAGTGGACTAAAATCAAATCCTCAAGATTTAACGTAGGGTCGAAGTGAGCTATAGCCAACAGTGTTCCTTCAAAACTCCAAGGGGTACGCTTCAAGATAGCTTGTTTATCCGCTAATGTTTTAATTTGAACATGAACATTGATCTTTAAGAATGCTAGATTCCGAGAATCCTAGCTGCCCCCAAATTGACCGGAAGACTCTTAGAACCGCCTCACTCTCAACACGTTTGTATCCAATAATCTTAGCAACAATCCATTGTCTATCTCCACTAGATCATCTTCGGAAATAACCCTTGGAGGGGAGATATCTTCTGATTCATCCTCTGTAAATTTCAACTGCTCCATGAGATATGCCACCTCTTCAGACATGGTACCCGTAGCAAAAACTATCAATAAAACCAAGAACACTCCTCTTTTACACTCTTCTTTAACCCACAATTGGACAACTTGCAAGAGAGAAATGCTAACAGGACACGTCTGCTTCTTTTTGGAAAGGTGATAATAACAATTATCTTTTTACTCCTTAGTCTCTTCCCCATCTCCTACTAGAACCTACTCTTACATAAAAACAGTGCATGTCCATACGTTGGTTGCCCGTTTGCTGGGTCTGCCCACCTGTTCTGCCTGTCTGAACCTTATTCCCCTCCCCGTGATTGGACTGCCATTGTCACCCTCAACCCGTATGCAACAATAGCTACAAAGACCGTCCCCATGCTGCCAAGATATAGGAATTCCTGCTGAACAAGCTGTAACCAATGGAATAATTATAAAGAATTTCTTTCACCTGACACCATCTACCTTCATACACAAATCTCAACATATTATCCGTATTCCATAATCCCAAGACCATCTCCGAATCCATCCATAAATCCCATTAAATATCATTACACAGATTTCTTTGATATTTGATGTATTTCTCTATTCACAGCTCATGTTTCCACCTCCACATCACATCACATTTGAAGTTCTGCTGAATTTCAGACATTTCCCCTTCCAATTGTAATCTGAACTGGAACAACGATTAGCTTGTACCTCCCCTTAATTAATCCAAATTCTTCCTTAACACATTTTGAAACCCACGCCGATCATCTTCTTCCTGCCCTTGGCCTCTTCTTCCTGCTTTTCCGGCTCCAGAACATACCCTAATTTATCCTTTACAACTGAATAACCCATCCGTTCTTACACCTAAAACCCCATTCCTTCTTCCAATGAAGCCCTTCTTTCTAACTCCCCTTCCTCTACCACCCCTTGGCCATTTTCCCATAAGATACATTCCCTCTCTCAATGTCATTTCCTCGGCAACAGCCTTTAAGAAGATCCTGCAGACATAAACCGCAATTAAAAAATTCCAATGATAACATAATAGCTTTTACCTTCACATTCTCCGCATAAGAGGAACACCGAGAATGACTCTTGATTTTTGAGGAACACCAAACACATCGCTTGAGCTTAGAAGAACCAAGACATTTCTTACTTTTGAACAACTTTCACCTTCCAAGAACCATAATTTTGACTTAACAACACCCTGACTTTGATGAAATTAAACCGTTTTGAGATCAAGAATGAATCTCGACAACCAAATATCCATGAAAAATGGAAGAAACCCTTGAAAATCTCGACAACCAAATATCCATGAAAAATCATGGAAGAAACCCTTGAAACCACCCATTGTCCCATCTCGAAGAGAAATCCTAGAGAGAGAGAGCAAATTCTCACTCTAGAAACCCGCTCACTACCAGTAGACATGAAATGTCTGAAACTCAAAAATATAATACTTGATTATTAGAGATTTGGATCAATCCGAAAGATTCTCAGTAAATCTCACTCTTCGAAATTAAGTATATAAATTTTAATTTAATTTAATTTGTAAGTTGGTCGAATTTCAATCCATTTTGGTCACATTTTAAGATAACCATAAGCACACGTACACTAGAAATTAACAAGTCCTGCTGCGGCCGAAATCTTTGATTCCATAACCTTAACTTATAATAGTTTCATTATTTCATTCATTTGAACCGACATACTTATTAGAATTCCAACACGTAATTTCCTTTAAATTATAAAAATTATTTAATCGTTTTCTTTTAAATGCAGGTTG